CAAAGTTTGGGGTGGTTGTTTCCTTTTTTTATTTTGGGGTGCAACGAATGTACACATGGCAGGCAAACATGAGTGTATTTAAATCCTACATGGCATCTCCAAGATGAGCCAAACTTCACACCCCTCTGATCCATTATTGATGCAGCTGTCCACCGATAGCAGGGGGGGAGGGGGGTAGGGAAGGACACCAGCCGTAGAAGTGAAAAATGTTCGATGGGGAAATTGAATGGAGGGTTGGCAGAAACAGTGGGGTGCGCGAAGGTTCAAAGTGGTGGGGTGGGTGAAGGGAAGTAGTAGGGTGGGTGAAGGGAAGCAGCGGGGTGGGTGAAGGGAAGCAGCGGAGTTGGGAGCGGTGGAGCAGAGGGTTGGATGTCGTCACGTCTGCCACCGTCGCCACTTGACATCACTGCACACCGCCATCATTGCATCAGCTCGCTGCTGCTGCTCACAGTTACCGCGCTTGCAGGATGGGAACTGAGGTATGATGGGCTCGGGACAGTGGCAAAGCGAAACTATTGGCTGAGGGGACATAGTGGAAAGGGAAGGGTCGGATGTGGGGAATGGGGAGGGACAGGAGAGGGGGAAAGGGATGGCCGGGAGAGGGGTGAATGGTGGGATGGGATAGGGGGAAAGGGAAGGGATGGGAGAAAGGGAAAGGAAGGGTTTAGGAATCTGGGGATGCCTTGAAAGGACAAGGGTAGGGTAAAGGGTGGATGGTGGGGGAAGGAGGGACGGACACCGATGGAAGGAGGGACGGGGACGGGGGGAAGGTTTGAACGGTAACGGGAGAAAGGAGGGACGGCGGGAGTGGGGGAGAGGAGGATTGGTGGTGGAGAGACGGTAGGATCGAGCCGCTTGCTACCGTCGCGCCCAATTCTGCCTCCTGGGAAGGGCAAGAGGCCAAGGTATCGACGGACAAGGGGAGTTCGGGAATGGGGAGGCGTGAAACCGAAGGTGTGGCATAGGAGGATGTGCCATGGGGGATGGTGGCAGGGGGGAATGCCCTGGAACAAACAATCTCTCACGCTTGAACTAGGACAGGAATGGGATAGGACAGGGGGGAGGAGAAAGCGACAGGGGGAATGGGATAGGACAGGGAAGGGACAGGAGAAGAGGGAAAGGGATGGCCATCAGAAGGGTGAATGGTGGGATAGGATAGTGGGAACGGGAAGGGATGTGAGAGAGGAAAAGGAAGGGTTCAGGAAAGGGGGAAATGAGCAGGAAAAGCAGCGACGGTAGTGGGGGAAAAGGGACGAATGGGGGCAAGGGGACGGATGAGAGCAGGGGGGAGCAGTGGGTTGGGAAGGGGAAAGGAGGGAGGGAGAAGAAGGGGAGGGAAGGATAGGGAGACAGGGCAGAAAGAACAGGGGGGAGGATTAAGCATCAGGAGGAACGAAAACGATGAAAGGGAGGGAAGGACTAAGGGGAAAGGGAGAGAATGACAGGGGGAAAGGGTGGGAAGGACATGGAGGAAAGGAGGGAAGGACAGGGGGGAAGGGATAGAAGGAGTGGGGGAAAGGGAAAGAAGGACAGGGGCCTATAGCATCGATCGCTGCTCTTCCCACCCTTTCCCCCTGTCCTCCTCTCCCATTCCGGCCCTGTCTGCTCGCTACCCTTGCCTTCGCCGCATCGCTACCAATATCGCTCGCTAAAGCCGCTTGCGAGGTTTGGACGCGAGATGCTTCGCCACCGTCGGAACAGATGCTTCGCCCCGCTGTTCGCTAACGACACCCTGCTGCACGCTAACGTCGCCCCGCTGCTCGCTACTGTCGTTATCGCTGCTCACTATCGTCATTGCGCCATCGCAACCCTGCTCGCTGCCATCGCAACCCTGCTCGCTGCCATCGCAACCCTGCTCGCTACCGTCGCCGCTCTGCTCGCTATCGTCGGCCCGCTGCTGGCTACCGTCGCACCCAATCCTGCCTGTCGCCATCGTCGCTGCTTGCCACCGCCGATTCGTGAGAAATAGAGGGACGGGAGAGGGAAAACTGAACGACGACAGCGGAGGAAATCTAGCGCAATGCGCTACGGGTACGACTGTCGTGGTGTTTTTTGAGGTACGAAATAGCGCAGATATTCGAGCGCACACTAAGAGGCGAAGAATAGAGATAGATCTGAGGCGAATGGCTCTCAGTAGCCCTACGGGAAGGCACTTCAGGTTAGTAGTAACCTAGCCTAGCGCGAGAGATTGCCGAGTTTGAGTAGTTTTGAGTTCAAGTTTCAAGTTTCAAGTTTGATGCCTGGCCCCCCCTTCATGCTGTTGTGCGGTGCTTTTCCGCAAGCCCTCCCCAACTTCCCCCCCACTCATCATGCTGCGAGGCACTTTTCCGCACGACCTTCCCCCGATCTCAGAAAGCTCGGCCTGCTCGACTTCCAGTGTATACTGGGTAACGCGCCCTTCAAGCTATAATACTTTGAACTGGCGCAGCGATATCTGCACCGCGGCTTTAAAGTTGGTGGAGCACGGAAGGTGCTGCCGTCGCATAACACTGCCACAACTAGCTTAGGTTTGGTATGCATTGTAGTGTACTGAACAACAAATACCGAACCTGAGCTAGTTCCGGCAAGGGACACACCCATCAATCAAAGGGTTCCTAGGTTTCATTGTGCTCGAAATTCGAGCCTCGAATCGACTGAACCGCATTGACATCAGCGGCTTTTCACCACACAACATCGAGAATGCCTGGCTTGGGTGCAGGTTCGGGTATGACTGGGAAACGTCGTTCGAAGTCCGCCACGGCACGAACCGAGGGCCACTGCGACTCGGACCGAATTCGGTAGTCCACAGGCAAAGTACATGAATTTGGCACCATCCTTCCCTTTGTCCAGCATGTGAAGGGAGGTGGAGTCGAGCCGCTTGTTGCATTGCTGAGAGGGAGAAGAATCGAATCGCATCGAGCGTGCACAGTTCGTTCCGTTTTACATTCCATAGCAGCTGCCGTCTTTCTGCTGCCCGAAACATGGTGAAGAGGCTAGATGCCTCCCAATGGACAACCCCGTTCCCCCTAGGGTGTACATTTTCTTTGCCCAAAATCGATGGTTTGCCCATGACTGGAGATGCAAGCAGCAACTCGCATGCGAGTTTTGAGTTCTTGCAAAAATGGATCTGGCTGAAAAGTGGGCGCGAATGTTGTTGCTCTTCCTTCCCCCTCGTGGCATTCTCGTTTGGACCTCCTAAATTCCTGAGAGAGCGTTCCCACAGTATCCCGACAAGAAAGTTTGCCCACACGGCTCGCAAATTTCCAATGCTGTAAAATATGAAGAGATGGGCGGAATTTAACAGGCAATTCTCTTTCACTTCTCTATCAACCTCTCATTCAGTATCTACCTCCAAGTGCATCCCGTCCGAACGATCCAGCTGGCATGCAGCACATAGTGTGCCGCCTGTTTCTGGTTTCAAGCACTCGGCTCCGCTAGCGAAGATTCTAGAAACCGGCTTGTCGTCTAGAGGACCACAGACGCCTTTACTTACAGTACAGAACCACAGCCGCCATTCGGCCTTCTTTGTGCTGTACACCCTCTTTTTCGCTAAACTGACGTCTGCTATACTGACGTCAGAAGTGAAATATCACGTTATAGGGCGGTTCATTTTTATTATACTACGGTTTAGTAAGAGGGTTTATTTAGCCAATTTCAATAAGACAAGATCTGCTAGTCAGTTACGTCTGGGTCAGTGTAGCGAGAAAGAGGGTTTAGGGTTTAGGGTACGAAACTCGTTGTACGAACCACCCGTCCTCCGCACCACGACGACCACAAAAAAAGGCCCCACCGAATCTACCCACATACAGATGATGCCCGCAAAACCGCCCATCCTTCACACTCCCAGGTACACTCGACAACCCAACTGGTCTGGCTTTACGGGTAACGGCCCAGTCATTACAGACCCACGCGCAACGAACTGTTATGACCCTTGCCATTGTACTTTGTGTACTTGCGGAAGTGTTAGCGAACGTTGCTAGAAAAACCAAGCGACTCAACCCACCGTTCGCGCGATACAGATTAAGCTGGTAACTTGGATACTACATACAATCCCAATTTGACCCATAAATATGAGGTGCTTCTTCGAGTTCAAACCGCCAGGTAACACATTGGGACACTCAGAAGCATCAAGTGCAATGATATGTTCTACGCCTCGGGACACCTCGCCAATCGACAATCACACCGGACGTCCGACCGTCGCTCTGTACTTTCTACAGAGATACAGCTAATGTTCGTTTGATACTCCCATAATTTCCTAGAGCATTCGGCTTGTAAGCGTTTTTTGCATTTCGCCAAGGTTCGTCAACGTCGCTGCTAGCAAAAAGGGCTTATAAAATTTCGTGTTACACGTTGACGGTTTGACGTCGGTCCTTTCGTGTTACCATTGGTTCATCATAACTGAATTGAAAGTTTGACGTTGGTCTCTTTGTGACCATTGGTTCATCATCACTGCAACTTGCTCCGGGGGCCTGTGAACTGGATGCAACTATCCGGCATCAAAAGCTCGGGCGCAGATTTTCTAAATATAATGGAAAATTCGCGCGCAGGGATTGAGCATCAGGTGTAGTCGATGGTTCTTGTCCTGCGTCGCACCTTGGGGGCGAGTGCCTGCAAACTGTTGGCACACAACGGCGATTTCGGTGGCTGTTGGAACACCTTCACAGTACTTCAGCCCATGCAGATACAATTCGGTAGACGCGACGTCAAGTTCTCGAGACAAGTTTTCTTAGGCAGGCATGGCGAGGACTGCAAACCGTCCAACTACCAGCAGCATCAGCAGCGGTGGTACCAGGCCCAGCATGACATCGATTCCTCGCGTAGTATTGCGGTCGTTTCGCGGCGCGCTTCAACGACCCGTGAACACGCGCCTCGGCCCTGTTCTCCTCCTCGTGTTGCTAATGTTCGCGTTGCTTCTCGCCGTCGCCTCCGGCGACCCCGTCAATCGCGGCGGCTCCCGCGGCACCGATTTCGGCGTGCGAAGGACGGCGAAAACGTGGAGAGTGCCGCAACAGTTTCTCGCGATGCGAAACCTTACACGAGCCGTTACTGTGTTACGCGAACAGTACGCGGCGGCGGCGTCTCGCGAAGGCGGCGCGAGCGAAAGTAGCACTAGGGCTGGGGTTACCATTTTCGCGAATGTCGTACCAAAGGAGGAAACGGACCCGAATGCGCCGTATACTGTGTTCGAAGTGGCGAGACCGATTGTGCGGCCGCAAGGGGCCGTGGAGTGTACAGTAACACTGTTCACGGATGAACCTTTCGCTTTTACGCTTGGTAACCCGCCGACGCAAACTTCGTACACCCCCGACCCGAACTGCGCCTCGGTGAGTAGGACTGTACGCGTTATAAAGAGGGAAAAAAGAGCGATAAGACTTGTTAGCTGGGACAAGATTCAGAAGCTGTGGTGAGGCAGTAATGTTGTGATGAGAAAGGGCGAGGGAAAAAGAGAAGAAAAAGGGGTGAGTGGGACAAAATGGGGGGGAGGATGGTCGGTATTTTGGCCGGGGTAATCTAAAGGGAGAAAAAAGTGCGCGGAGACTCTTTGGATGGGGGGAAGGTACCTCAGGTTCGTTACATTTCCCAGGTTGAGAAAGGTCATGGAATGCGTGGTAAGGAGAGGCTTTTGTTTGTTTGTTTGTTTGTTTTTTTAATAGAAGTCTCAATGTTGGCGCATGAATGAGATTGGCTTGGAGATCCGACGTGACTTTTGAGTCGACTCAAAAGTCACCTCGTTCTTTTATAGAATTCTCAACGTTAGCGCATTAATGAGATTGGCTTGGAGATCCGACGTGAGGCCGGCGAGTGAACGGTTGGATGTTGGCCGCAAACTGACGCGCCGCATGATTTGTTTCAATCTTTATGCCACGTGTCGCAGGCGGATTGGTCGCTGGCTGTGCTGTCGGTGGGCGTGAAGGTGAAAGGCGTGCAGTTTGACCGGCGCATGGTCATTTTCTTCGGCGGTTTCGAGGTTTCTAGATCAATGTGAGTGCTGTGTAGTAACTGAGAGTGAATCTGCCAGATTATAGTGTACCTGAGTCTCTCATTCTCCTCCTTATCATCCTCCTCATCTCCTTCAACCTTCTCCCATCCACTATCCTCTCCCATCCCCTCTCCCCTTCCCCCCCCCCCCCCTCCATCGCCCCCCATACTCGCCCCATCGTCCCCTGTTAGCTCCATCGTCCTTCCTTTTCCTTTCGCCCCATCTGTTTTCGTTAACAGCACTGCGGAGCCACTGGGAACAGAGATTCACTACTCGTTTGAGCGAGACGTCACCAATTATGCACCCATGCTTAAAACCGTAAGCAGCCACATCCTTTTCTCTTCCTTCCTCCTCTTTATCTCAGCTCTCTCCTCTCCTTGCCTCCTCCCTCCACCACTCCTCTCTTCCTCTTCCACTTTCCTCCTCCCTTTTTCCTCTCCTCTCCTCCTCCTCTCCTCCCTTCTCCCCACCTTTTACACCCATTTCTTCTCTTTACTTGCTACTGTCCAACATCTTGCCGTGCCATGCCATGCCATGCCATCCCATCCCATCCCATGCCATGCCATGTCATGTCATCCCATCCCATCCCATCCCATCCCATCCCATGCCATGCCATGCCATGCCATGCCATGCCATGCCATGCCATCCCATGCCATGCCATGTCATGCCATCCCATCCCATTCTATGCCACTCATATGTCACTCCATCCCATCCCATGTCTCCTCCCCCCTTTCCCCCTCTCTCCCCCTCCCACTCCCCCTCGTTTCCCCTTACCCGTTCTCCCCCCCTCCCATCCTCCACCCCTCCAGGCATCCACTGTCTTTGTGATTCTAGAGAATGTCGTCGACGGTGAATACACTGGGATTTTCAACGTCACCATCTCCCTCACAGCCTACAAAGGAACACCCCCCTCCACTCCCCCTTCCCTCCTCCTCCCTTTCTCCACCACCTACCCTTCCTCCTCCTCCTCCTCCTCCTCCTCCTCCTCCTCCTCCTCCTCCTCCTCCTCCCCTTACATTCTTTCCGGAGCCTCAGCCACTACTCGCAGTGCTATACAAACACTCTCCGGCTTTCCAACAAATGTGATTAAAGCGAAGGTGGAGCTGACTATGTCAATGCACGCGGACGACGAGTTTTATTACCTTTATTTCCCCAATAAATTCTACAGTAGCCTTCCTAGTTCTTTAAAGCCCAAATTCAAGCCGGAAGGCGGTCCCTTTCGCGAGCTGAATCTTTTCATTGACGACCAATTTGCCGGGGCAATTTACCCTTTCGCTCCACTTTACACCGGCGCGTTCAACCCGCTGCTCTGGTCGCCCGCTGTGGGAATCGGGAATTTCGGCTTCCCGACAGTTACCCTCGACGTGACCCCGTTCGCGGGGGTTTTATCCGACGGGCAGCCGCACGAAATTAGGGTTTCGGTGGTGAATGCAAAGCCCGGGGCTGCATGGTACCTGACAGGGATCGTGCACGTGTGGGCGGACTCCGGAGTAACGTCTACTGCTGGGCCCCCACCGACCATCAAAGTGGCTCCCAGCAGGAGGAAAGAGAAGGTGAAGCTGTTTGAGAGCCCGGTGGTGAAAGCGCTGCGGCTGATGGGAGTACGGCTGAGCATCGACGGCAAGTACAGCACGGTTGCTGCGCGTGACTACTCCATCTCAGGTGAGTGTGTGGGGTGATGTTGTTACAGTGTAACCAAGTAATGATGGAAACATCATTGCCAGTCACACTTGTGTCTGCTACTCACTTCCATAACCCCCTCTACAATCACACCCCCCTGTTACTAGATCAAACCAACCACAGTAACCACTGCTGATGGCCCGGTCTCCACACTGGTTGCATTCCCCCCTCAGTGGATTCAGCAGGAGGTGCAGGGAAAGGGGGGGGATGGCAACTACCGGATGGAACAACATCAGCATTCATTCTTGTGTCTGCCACTCACTTCCATGCCCCCCTCTACAATCACATCCCCCTGTTGCTGTCACACCAGGCACCGTTACCACAGCTGACGGCCCGGTTACCACTCTGGTCACGTCCTCCCTGTTAGTGGATGCAGCAGCAATGGTGGGGCACGTGGGGGGAGAGGATGGTGGTCACCTGGCACGATTTTTGAGGCGCCTAAAACATTATACTGGTGGATCAACGTGGGCAGCATAACAACCGTCTGTTTCTGTGCACCCTTTCACGCCCCATCCCCGGTTTCAATCACACCAGGCACCGTTACCACAGCTGACGGCCCGGTTACCACTCTTGTCACATCCTCCCTGTCAGTGGATGCAGCAGCAATGGTGCAGGGAGGGGGAGCGGCCATCACCTGGTGGAACAACGTTGGCGTTAGGACAACTGTGACTGCCACACACGGAACGACCAAGGCTGTTCTGTCCTCTCAGACTGACACGTTCTCGTTCCCACTTCGAATCAAGCAAGCTTCTTCTGATTGTAAGTCATTCGGGTTTTCTGAATGGGGATGATCACAACCACAACTTGTGTTGGGCAGGGGGGAAGTGGGGGGGAGAGGGAGGAATGGGGGGGAATAAGCTGGTGATGGCGGGGCAGGGAGGAAGGGGGTGATAAACTGGCGGACTTTTGAGTTAACTCACAAGTCAGCAGGGAGGAAGAGGGCGATAAACTGGTGGAACAACGTGGAGGTCAAGACGAGACGACTGGGACCGCCAGCACACATGGAACAACCAGGGCTGTGCTGTCCTCCCAGACTGACACCCTTCTCGTTCCCACTCCGCATCAAGCAAACTTCTTCTGACTGTGAGTCATGGGGTTTCCTTATTAGGTGCAAGCAAGCACAGTCACAGTTGCTGGTGGGGTAGGTGGGGTGTTTGGGCAAGCAATTGGTTGGTGGTGGGGCAAGGGGTGGGGCGACAATCACCAGGTGGACCGTGGAACAACGTGGGCGTTAAAGGCGACTGTGATCGCCACACATGAAACGACCAGAGCTGTGACTGGGCCCAGACTGACACGTTCTTGTATGCTGTTATCCCGTCATGCAGCATATGGATCGGGCAAGTTTGACATTGACAGTGGATACAACCACAAGACGACAAAATCTCCATCTACATCATCCTCCTCGGCAGCGATATCATCATCCTCGTCAGCATCAGTATCACCATCGGTATCTGCATCAGCATCAACAACATCATCTTATCCATTATCCTCCTCGGCGCCAACTGCAACCAGCTTGCAGAACTCGCGGAAAGATTCGTTCAGTGTTCAGGTGGACTCAAAAGGAAATGTGATTGGTTCGTCCACTTCTGGTAGCCAGACGTATGCGTATAAGTGTAGCCCGGGCACTAGTGGGTGCTACTCGAGACAGATTAAGATGCGGCCGATTGAGGTGCTTCATAATAAAGAACTGACTAGCTGCTGAGGAGAATCGAGTGTACAAGTAGGCTTGTGTATACGAGTACCAGAACCTTGTGAAGATATATATGTGCAAGGTTATTGTGGTGTATGTATTACATTTCATGCCAATGCAATCGCTTAGTACTGTTCCAAGATTGCCCATTTCCCCTACAACAACCACCCTAGTTCCTCAACACGTCTCCTAGTTCCTCCTCTAGTTGCTCCACTTCTCCCGATCCACCTCCCACTTGTTCGGAAACATGCCCATGAGCCGCCCAGAAGACTGCTGGTACGCGTACATGAATCCCCCCATCAGCCCGAGGATACCTGCACAGTACATGCTGGGCCCCCTCAGGTTGGCACTTCCACCTGATGTAATGGGGTGGGGAAGAAAGGCACGAGAGGAGTGAAGGGGAAGGTGAGACATAGGTAATGCATGTGGTTGCTGGTGCGCGTACATGAACCGCCCATCAGCCTGAGCATACCGGCACAGTACGTGCTGGGCCCCCTCAGGTTGGCGCTTCCACCTGATGCTGGTGGGACAGTGGGATGGGGAGAAAACGAGAGGAGGGTAGGAGGGGACATGCCATAGAGAAGCCATGTGGCCATGTGATTGCAGTGGACATACATAATCCCCCCATCAGACCAAGGGTACCGGGACAGTACATGCTGGCCCCCCTCAGGTTGGTGTTCCCACCCACCTAATGCAATGGGACGGGGAAGGGAGACACGTCAGGAGGAGTGTTGGGAGAAAAGCTCTCTTTTGAGAATTCTCAGGAGTGTTGGGGGAAAGGTAACAGAGAGAACGTGCACAGTACATGCTGGGCTTTTCACATTGGCGATTCCACCTTATGCATTGGGACAGGGAGGAAACACGAGCGGAGGCTAGGAGAAGCGAGAACATATAAAGAGCTGGAATGTGTGCTTGTATGAATGGCCCCCCTTATAAGAACACCCATAAGCACAACCCACAAGCACACCCCTGCCATGAGCATACCCTATGCCATAAGCACTCACTCTGCACACCTCATAAGCACACCCGTTTAGAAATCAGACAACACGGACAACAATGCCGGAGCCGTTGCGAATACGTTGAAATATAACTTCTACCTTGGTCAAACGAATCATGCTGGAAATCCATAAGCAGAGATCGAGCATTGTGATTGTTCCTGAACAGTGCCGTACATGCGAGGATTTCTGAGGCGCCGCCTTTTGAGGCGCGTCAAGGAAAAAAAAACAGCTAAGCGTCTCGTTCCGTAACGCATGTGCAACACCGGCCCGCGTCTACGCCGACGACGTACCTGCGAGGTAACCGAACGGTAGCGACACGGCGGTGAACGTGGCGACGTTTTTGTAGTCGCTGAACGTGAAGTTACCAACCGTGCGACCGAACGACGGCGTGCGATCGATCACCGGGAACTTGGGCTCGTCCAGAAAGATCCCCATCGCGTCGCTTGGTGTCGCCTGGTGTCGCTGCGTCGCTGATCGACTTCGTGTAAAGGATCGCGTGAAGGAGGCCCGACGAGGCTACGTGAACGTGTAGGGGTGAAAACGTTACGAGCGGATTCGTCCAGGTGGATTGACGGATTCGGTGGTGGATTTGACGGTGACGGCAACGACGTGAATGCGGCGGCCGAGAGGGGGACGAAAACGAAAGTCTAGAAAGGAAGGCGGGCGGATCGCGAAACCGTTGCACCCTCCTAATCTGCGCTCCAAGGCGGCTGGAAGAGGTAAGTGGCTCCTCAGTCCCTTCTGATGTAAAGGTTTCCTCGAGATTAGAATTAGGGTTACAGTATCGGGGAGGAGTATGGCGTGTTCGAAAGACGCAATACGGAGAACACCGCAATAGTATAATTCTGGTTCTACTGCAAACCTGCTAACACAAATTGAATACAGTAAGAGCTGCCAAACTACTGAGGGTTTACAGGGTCAGCAATGCTATAATGTGACCCATCAATGGGCAATATAAGGAAAAGATGGAATGAGTACGACAATACATACACAACTCAGCAACAGTTTGCAGCAGTCTTCAGTAGCTTAGTTCAACATGAAACACATTCTACAACATAGTTCAACATTAACAACACCATGTGTGGCAATCTATCTATTTGAAAGTCAGGACCCATGATGCCTCTCGGTGACGGGCCTTTTTACCAGCACACGTTGACTGTTAACACTTCTTGGGTTATCAATGTCATTCCAGTCCACACTGGTGTACTCATGCTTAAAACCATTCGTTCTATTGCTGGTTACGAAGCAGCGGTAACCGCCATGCCAATCTTCATCTCATTGTTACCAGTCTCCCGCTCCGCCTGCTTCCCCTGCTGTGGTTGCTGCAGCTGCTGCACCATCCCATTTTGCGACTCGGTGGTAAAATTCGGCTTATTCACACTCGCATTCCCATCCTTACCACCCTCCCTCAACCCCTCACCTCCATCCCTACCCATCATATCCACATCAGCTGATCGCCCTGTTCTAGGCGGTTGAATCTGCTGCTGAGCTGGCTGCACCTGAGATTGCACCGGTTGCTGCTGCTGCTGCTGCTGGTGCCGTGACAGTTGGTTAGGGTTCATCTGCTGCTGTATTCCTGCTGCATGCCCTGCTGCCAGTGCCTGCTGTGGCCCTGACCTTCCCTCAATCCCACCCTGCTGCTGCTGCTGCTGTAGCAGGGGCGAGGTCTCCACACCTTCGTCCTTGGGTATCATCTGTCTGTTAGTTTCCTGAGTGAAGGACTGCTGCTTAACATGCCCATGCCCATACCCATGCCCATGTGCATGCGAAATTCCTTGCGCCACCACCCCTTGCTGACCCTGACCCTGAACCTGCCCCCCCTGCCCCTGCGCCATCTGCCCTTGATTCCCCTGATTCCCCTGCCCCTGCCCTTGTCCCCCTTGCCCCTGTCCTCCCTGCCCCTGCCCTCCCCCCATTGGTGGCAGGGGCGGAGGGGGAAGCTCAGGGGCGGGGATGGGGGTCAGCTGGGGGGAGAGGGCGGAGGGGGCAGGGTTGGCGAGGGGGGCTCGCACATACAGCTGGCCGTGTAGGGTTACCACTGCTGACGTCTGATTTGCGTTGATGGCTGCAGGCAGCAGAATCACCTGCAGGGAGAGAAGGGAGGTGGGGAGGGGGAGGGAGAGATGGACTCGCAAATACAAATGACTGTGTAGGGTTACCACTGCTGACATCCAATTTGCATTGATGGCTGCAGCAGGAGTGAAGAATCACCCGCGGCAAGAGAGATGGGGTGGGAGGGGAGAAGAAGGGTGAAAGCCAGGTGAAAGGAAAGTTAGGGGAAAAGGCTGGATAGAAAATAGGTGAATTGAAAAAGCATTGCAAAAAGAGTACTTTGAAAAGGAGGTGACTGGGAAAGTTTCCCTTTAAACACTTCTCACATGGTAAACAAAGCAGAGACCTCACGTTCAAATGAATGGTATGACTCTCCACAGGTTTCTCAGTTGCTCCAATATCAAGGCACCCACACAAGTCGAAGACACATACAATCTCATGTTGTTGAGACAGCACAAAGGCATATAACAGCTGCACTCTCACCCCCTTGAACGGTGTCACTCCCGATTTGTTGTCTGGTTGTCCGGTTTTAGAGATGACTCAAAACGAGGCGCCTCAAAAAGGCTATCCAAACGGTTCTCACCTTCTTGAATGGCGTCACTCCCCACGGGTTGTCTGGTTGCTCTGGCTCCCCTGCAATGACCAGCTTCCCTGCCGGCTCACACTGCACGCGCACCTGGAGAGAGAACAGAAAGAGTGAGAAGTGGTGAAGTGCGGGGGAGAGGTTTTTGTAAGGGTTGCTGTGGCTCCCCTGCAATGACCAGTTTGCCTGATGGCTCACTCTGCACTCGATCGCACAGGATTAGGGGTGGGAATGAAGTGATTTTCTAGTCGATTCAAAAGAAAAATGCACGGACAGGAAGTGTGGTACATAATTCAAGAAGATGTGCGCGCGAAAAGAAAAGTAAAAAAAAACCAAGTATATAAAAATAAATGAATAAAAAAACGCAAAAGGCCTGAAGGAGCCTTCTCTACTCAGCTCACCTCTTCCCGCAGCAGGCCTGGGACGAGAGCGTAGATCTCAAAGCAGTCCGGCTGTGAACGGGCCGGGTGGGAACGGGCCGGGTGGGTGGGAAAAGGATGAAATGGGAGTTGCCAGAGCTGAGAAACGAAGACTAGCCTTGTATGCGATACAAGTTTCAAGGCGCTTCAAAAACCTGCCTGGAAATAGGACTTGAGAAGAGCAGAGAAGGAAGCAATTCAGCTGAGGAGGTGGGAGGGGCTATGGACAAGAGCAAACCGCCAAGGTGAGAACAAAGGTCTCAAGAGTGTGAGTCTTGAAATGACCCCAAATTTACTGTACTAAATCCAAACCCAACCCATGCGTACTGATTGGCGGACGTTAATTCGAACCAGTCAGCCGGCAGACCCAAGTTGTTCACCACTGCCACCGCCCCATCATCCATCGCTGCTGCTCTCCCCCCCCCCCCCCTCCTCCCTCCCAACCCATCCCAGCCCATCCCGACCCATCCCAGCCCATGCGTACCGATCGGCGGACGTTGATTCGAACCCAATCAGCCGGCAGACCCAGGTCGTTCACCACTGCCACCGCCCCATCATCCATCGCTGCTGCGCCCACTCCTCCCCCTCCCCCCACTCCCCCCCCCACTCCACCCCCTACTCCTCCCCCTGCCCCCCCTACTACCCCCATTCCCCCTCCTCCCACTGCTGCTCCTCCCACTCCCCCTCGCCCCGCTCCCCCATCTCCTGCATTCCGCCGCCCCCCCTCTCTCCCAGAAGTGCCACCTCCCCCAGGTGTACCTCCCCCGCTCCCAGGCGGCCTGCCTCTCGGGCGGGGCGCATCTGCTGCCCTGGTCGCCGCCCCAGGCGTTCCTTCAGGTGTTTCCTCTGTTGGTTGCAGGGAGTGTGGGAGGTAGCGATTAAGGAGTAGAGGAGAGCCAAGAGAATGAGGTCTGGATGAGAATGGTTGAGAATGGATCAAGCGGATGAAAGTTTGCAACGGCTAACAAGAAAGGTAATCTTTCCTAATCCAACTGGAAAAGTTGATAAGGCAGTAGAGAGGCATGGGGGTGAGAGCGAAAATTCAGAGAGGGATGAATTTCAGGGGAAAAAACTAAGGGGGGAAAGGAGTTGGAGGAAAGATACTGTGTTGTGCCAAGGATTGAGAGAATCGAGTGTGTTGTGTTGCACGGTCGTTGAGAGGGGAAGGAAGTATTCAAGTGACTTGCATGCATGTATGCAATGCACGAGTTGGCATGGGCTCAGCATGCTTTGACATGGGCTCAGCATGCTTTGACATGGGCTCAGCATGCTTTGGCATGGGCTCAGCATGCTTTGGCATGGGCTCAGCATGCTTTGGCATGGGCTCAGCATGCTTTGGCATGGGCTCAGCATGCTTTGGCATGGGCTCAGCATGCTTTGGCATGGGCTCAGCATGCTTTGGCATGGGCTCAGCATGCTTTGGCATGGAATGACCTCCCTCACTCTCGCTCACTCTCGCTCACTCTCGCTCACTCTCTCTCACCTCCATCCTGGGTCCGTCTGTGCCGCTTTGGGCCTGATCCCGGGGTGCCGCGTTCCTGGACGGAAGATGAGCGCGCAGCAGGGGGGAGGGGGAGAGGGGGAGGCGGAAGGGGGGGAGAGCGGGAGGGAGGGCGAAGGGGAGAACTGAGACGATCGTTTGAAGCGCCTCAGAAAATAACCGCTTTGGGGCAGATCCTGGGGTGCTGCGCTCCTGGATACAAGATAACTTTTGAGGCGCCTCAAAGGTTGTTCTGGGATGCCGTGCTCCTCAATACAAGACAAGATGTGAACAGCAAGGAGTAGAGGGGAGAGAGGGTTATGAAACGTAAGGAGGGGCATGTAAAACCAAATGTGAGAAGCAGGGGAGAAGAGATGAGAGGAGAGGGGGAGAGGGAAGAGAGGGGAGGAGAGCGGGAGAGAGAAGGAAAGGAAGAGAAGTGGAGGGGACGGACAAGACGAGGAGAGAGGAAAGGATTGGCAGAATTGTTAAGGCGTGGGGGGGAAGTGGGGAGGGAAGTGGGGGGGAAGTGGGGAGGGAAGTGGGGAGGGAAGTGGGGGGGAAGTGAGGGGGAAGTGAGGGGGAAGTGAGGGGAAGAAGTAGTGTGGTACATCCGCATTAACAAGCTGGTGAAAGTAATCCAAATTTGCTGCGTGCTCAGCTCCTCAAGCTACCTAAATTTACTCACCTTCGGAGTATCCGTGTGATCCCCATCAGCGGCTCCAGTCTTGGCTGCAGCCAATCGCTTGGCTCCACGTAGCCCACTGCCCCCCTGCTGTGATCAAAGCACAAAAACCGGGAAAACATAATATAATACAAGGGTACCCAGTCTCAAAAGTGAATTGCGGCTCCGATCTCAACCATTCTCTTCTCAACCATTGTCCCCCTGCTGCACTCCAAGCAACAGAATCAGATCTACCAGACACATGGGCTAACACCACACCACACCAGCATGCACCTCACTCAACCGTACCGCAACTCCTGGCAGGGGCTCACAGAACGCAGCACAGCCACCTCATGCCGCCGTGATGCTTGTTATCGGTGCGTGGGGTGATGGCGAGAGTGCCTTCCAGCAACGGATCCCTCTCTTGCGCCCACCACTACCCTGTGCCCACCACTACCCCGTGCCCACCACTACCCCGTGCCCACCACTACCCCGTGCCCACCACTACCCCGTGCCCACTACCCCGTGCCACCACGCCACCCCACACCCCACCCACCTCCGGGTGGTGCTTGCCGTCAGTGCGTGGGGTGATGGCTAGAGTGCCCTCCAGCAACGGAACCCCCCACACCCCCACACCCCTGCACCCCCGCACCCCCACACCCCTGCACCCCCGCACCCGCACACCCCACCCACCTCCGGGTGGTGCTTGCCGTCCGTGCGTGGGGTGATGGCGAGAGTCCCCTCCAGCATGGGGTCCACGCCCACGTGCTTCTCGTACTCCAGTAGCGCCTGGGATTGTAGGGTGAGAGAGTGGTGAACGGGAGTGCAAGTGGGTGAAAGAGGGTGCAAGGGGGTGAGAGAGACGGATGGCGAGAGTGCCTTCCAGCATGGGGTCCACGCCCACGTGTTTCTCGTACTCCAGTAGCGCCTGAGGGCGGTTGGGAGGGGTTGAAAAGGGTTGAGAGGGGTTCAGAGAGGTGCCCTCCAGCAAGGGGACCACGACCACGTGCCTCTCGTACTCCAGTAAAGGCTGGAGGCGGGAGGGAACGAGGGTTGCATGTGAGGGAAGGAGGGACGAAGGGGGCGAGATGGGAGAAAGAGGGGAGCATGGTATGCGATCAAAGCAAGCGTGTATTTTCCAGGGTCTCACGACAATCTTGTGTAAGACAATAAATTATTCGCCCTGAAAAACTTGCCAGAACCCACCAGCCCTGTCTGAACTTTCTGGCCCTGTCGGAACCCACCAGCCCTGTCTGAACCTACTGGCCCTGTCATAATTGAGAAGCATACCTTCTCGTAGAAACCCCGGAAGGACCAGGAAAGCGTTGTGCATGACCTGCGCGCAGGCAGACACGGAACACACAGAAATGGAACACTATTAAGCATGGAACGAATGAAATCCACTGACGGGCGCAGACGTTTACTGCTAGCGAGGGAGGGAGGTAGTGAGTGAGTGAGAGTGAGTGAGTGAGTGAGTGAGAGTGAGTGAGTGAGTGAGAGTGAAAAAATATCTACTGGCATCTCTTAGGCGTCCATGAGTGAGAATGTTGCCTCAATTGGAGGGTAACATTCTCCACATGTCAGCATCTTGTTGGACATTCTCTTCACAGGGTAGCTGGCTGCGAAAGCAGATGGATCGCCTTATAACAATAATGAAAAATAAAAACAAAAAAATGCAGCCTAAAAAACAAACGGAGGCACTGGGAAAAGGGCGTACTTGGGAGGGTCGAACTGATCCCCAACAACGCGCCAGAGCTTGCCACTTGTCACCTGATGATTGGGTGCAGAAAAGAGGGAGATTTGGATTGAGTGACGCAGTAACAATACAACAAGCAAGGGAGACCTTGAAAGGATGACGTTGTAACGTCTTTTCAAAAGGGGGAGTAACATGGTTACCCTGTCAAAGTCAGAGTTCAAAACGTCGCATACACACACAGCATGCCATCAAAACGAAGGAGCAAAGTTGTCACCTTGTCAAAGCCACCGAAAGAGCAGACGACTTGCCAGAGCCTGTAACATGAGGAGGTGATGCAGAAGGGGTGGGAGGGGGGAAAGGGAGGGAGAGGGGATGGGGGGAAAGGGGAAGCGAGTAGAGGGAAGAACGGGGGAAACGGACGATAAGGAACAAAACCTTTACCTACGGAACGCTCGCATAATAGGGAGGCAACATGGTTATCGATTTTTGAGGAGCCTCAAGAATTACAGCGCGGTAACGCCAGAGAAAAACGCGAGCCAACTAATTATATAAATGGCCATTACTACGCTCCTGCTGCAACTGCTGCTGCTGCTGCTGCTGCTGCTGCTGCTGCTGCTGCTGCTGCTGCTGCTGCTGCTGCTACTGCCGCCGACGGGATCGCCCTGTCGCCGTCCTAGATACGAGAAATACCTAAAATGAAGGTTCTCCGGAGCTCGTATCGTATCATACCATGAAAGGCCGGAATTATTGCGCGACTTCGAGAGAGGGCGAAAAAGAGCGTGAGGGTAGTAGGTTGCGGGCGGGGGAAGGTGAGGGAGAGTGTCGCACCCCGTTTCAATACCATAGCACGACGCCATACCTTCCGTGAGAATAGGTACAGACCCACTGTAACCTGGTAATTTACTCACTTTAGCAGATCGACTTCCACGCCATAGAACTTCGGAACCTTAAACTCCTGATGGCGCGACTCGAAGAACGCCTGAAGCTCCTTAACAAACGCCTTCGTATCCGCGCCGCGACCCGGCGGCGTCGTCTGTTGCGGAGTAGTCTCCATCCCCGACGAGCCGCTTACTCCGCCGATTAAAGCCGCCGGCGGGCCAGGCGTGCTCGGACCGCTTCCTTCGACACCAGTTTGACCGGCGAACGCGCTTCCGGATGTTCCGGGAATTCCGATACCGGGGATTGGATTCTTCCCGATTCCGTGACCGCCAGTAACGGTCCCGGGGGTAGAACCCGGAGTTGCTTCTAGTTGCGAGGGTATATTATGGGAAGTGTGGATTCTAGATGGGTCTCGGGGGGGCTCGAAGCCGCGCGCAACGGGCGGCGGAAGTTGCGGGACATTTGCCGCGACGCCGGATGGCTTTTGAGAAGCGTCAAAAGGCATTTGCGCATTCGGCGGTGCGCCAGATCCGTTTTCTGGACGGGCGACGGCCTCTTTGCCGTCCTCCATATCAACTTCTTGAGTACCACACTAACGAATCAGTCCGTTGAAAACTTTTCGTACGAGATGAAGTTGACACTAGCGGGTGTACTAGCTTCGGCGGAAACGGACTTACGGACACGAACGCCCTAGCGTGGCCGTTCAAGCTACCTCTTGCTGACGTCTTCCAAGCCACTTCACACGTTCACGAGCAGCTCAGCCTACAGTGGCAAGCGAAAAGATTGGAAACGGAAACGGCAGGGAGAAGAAACGGAGGATTATGGCTGTGAAGAGAAACCAGCGGCTCCTGTGCGGCAGAGGCGGGACTACGAGATGAACCAACCCAAATCCACAAGAAACAGCGCCATTCCTCCTCCAGCCCTAATTTACCGTGCGAGCTCGGGATTTTCCTCCCCCGATTTCTCCCCCAACCCACTTAGCAACAGATCCCCAATTCCCCGCAATTCTCCTACCCAACACATGGCGGCGGGTGAGGTGGAATCGGGTTCGTCAAATTTCGTAAAGAGGAGGAAAGTGTATCTGTGGTAGCTGGGCCGAATATGTCGTAACTCCACATTGAGAAACCTGAGATTTCGCCGAATGAGTTAACGGTTGCCAGCCACATAGGACACCCACTTTCACAAAACCGTCTCTGTTGATTCCTCCTGTGCACCAAAGAGTTTCCACTGATTAACTACAGTTGAACTATTTCACGTGATAACAATTGTGGCACTCAAACCCAGGATATTATTACACTTCAACTTCTAAACAGGTAGGTATACCTTGCTGCATCCAGATGCCTCCTTCCTGTATAACTGAGACGGGACTGAAAAAACACCCTTGTTTCAGTGGCTTACCTGTAGATTCTGACAGAATTCACCAGTTCCAGTGCCGTATCCGGTATTACCTAAGCTTGGGACCGGTGAAAGTGAATGTTCTTCCACTCCCAAGCTCCATCAGCACTCTTCCGCCTCTCCCATACTCTCGTCTCATTGAACGCTTTGCTTCCCACCTTCCCCGAAGCATCAGTCGTTTGAACAATGCGAGTGTAGGAAACAACTCCAGCATTGTCAACAATGGCAACGTGGGGTGCAACCATGGTTGACTTTGATGAACCATTCCCTGTGCTGCGATCAAAATAGTATTTGTGGAACTCCAGGCCCTTGACCAAGCCACCTGTGAGCCAGAGAGTGAACCGTCAGAAACCACGCAAAAGTGCACCGGACAAAATACATCCTGGCATGGAAATCGACATACCTTGTGCTTCAGGCTCAAAGGCAGAAAGGTGTTCGTCTGAGAGGTTGGAGTACGTTTTGTAATCCCCGGTGTCAATGGCATTCAGCAAGGCCTTCGTGTTATCAAGCAAATCACCCTGTGACAATGAACAGCTGTGAGCATTAAACTTTCTGGCAAAAAAAGTATTTTCACAGAAGAGGAAGCTGCTGCATACCTCACGAAACTTGGTAAAAAGAGGGGAAACTGCTTGGAACACTTCGTCGGGGGAACGGGTGGCATCAACCTGCATGGAAGTCAGTGGAGTCACGGTAGCTTGCATTGCAATGGCAAAATCACATGACATCAGTCATTCCAAACAATATGACACTGCCAAACTACAAACAGGGCCAGACAACAAAATGGTGATGCAAAAGCAAGCATTTGAATGGGCGGACTCGGACTTTGCCTAAAATAGGGTAGAAGTGTCGGAAGCAGAATAATCCAAGATGACAGTCACTGACCTTTCGCACTTTGCCACGCAAGTCATAATGGTTCACAACTGGAATACTCTGGTCCAAGAAAACCCGAAATCTCTTCTTAATCGTATCCATGTTATCGTCAATTCGTCCCTGCAGAAGATGAAAAGTCAAATTAGTACGTGTAAAATATCTCTTGTTTTTTCCAAGGGAAAAGGGCCAGAAAGCTCGCCTGGTTTCTTCCAAGAAGACGCTTGACCATCACGTCCTCAGGGCAATCAAAGAAGAGAATGAACTCAGGATCGATGCCAGTCTGCAAGCAACGAAGAGCTGTCAGGTTCCGAGCCAATACACTCAGACAACAACAAATACTTTAGCAGTTTTTGTATACCTGATTTTCAAAGACTGTCCTGTTATCGTTGTTCCGAGGAAACCCATCGATGAGGAACTTATTATTCCCACTCTCCTTCATTGCTTTCTGAAGAAGACCGACAGTGACCTCGGCTGGAACAATCTTTCCATCCTTAATCATGTTCTGAATCATGTTTCTGCAGCAAAAGAAGAACGTGCACTTCAGCAGCGAAACATCCTATGCACGCGAACTTGCGGGGAGAGTGGGTGGGGGGGGGGGGTGGGGGGGGAGGGGGGGGGGGGACTTCTTACCCGTGAGAAGATCCAGACTTGATCTCAGCACGTAAAAGATCGCCAGCGCTCAGATGGGTGAATCCGTATTCCTCGACAATCTTCGCGCATTGAGTTCCCTTACCACTCCCAGGACCACCTGCTCGTGCGATCAGAACCGTTGAGAGCTTCGATTGGAATACAACTCTGCATCGTCTACGGTTAACGGATCATGACGCGAGGAACGTACCAAGGACGAAGACGATCTGCGGTTTGAACGACCCATCTGGTCCTCCGGCATCAGACTTCCCCGCACTACTTTCCTGTACGGACGCGAAAGAAGACATCAGTTACCAACTAGCACGATAAGGAGACGAAAACGGAAAGCAATATGACGGTAAGTACCTCTGATGAGGCTTCCGAAAGGGCGATTGATTCGGAAGTGCTGACGAATGTCGGAAGCGTGGCGATTCCACCTGCGGCCAGAAGCCATCCCAGACGACGCCATTTCTGCCGAGTTCAGAGGTACGCCATCATATTTCAGCACACTGTCTGAGTTCAAAACACTGCCTACAAAGTACACCATTTCAAAATGAGTCCTAAAAGATCCAGATCAGCTGAATCACTCACGTTGGTCACAGGAGAAGTGACTCCTACAGATTCTGCAGTTCCAGCTGCACCGGCCGGATGTCTCTGAACCGCGCACGGCACCGCGTCTGCCTGCAATGCAGAATACGAGTGGCTAAGGTAACGCCTTTGAATGGGAGACGTGATCGGCTATCTACTTCACCTGATACTCACAAGCACACGCGGAGAGAACAGTGAAGGGAGGCGACCACGCTTCTTCAGGATCTCAGTAACAACATTTCTGGCAGCCATCTTGCTTGGTGGGCAAAGATCAGAATCTGGTCTAGCCACACCACAAAACAAGTAGAGAAGCCTAAGGAAAATGTGGTCGCAGGTAGACTGCCGGCAGCAATGTCCAAACAGATTGTAGTCATGGTGGGTTAAAAAGATCAGTAAAATTACAATTTCCTCTTTGACATGTCGATGTAGTATAATGGTCAGTATCTCCGCCTGTCACGCGGAAGATCCGGGTTCGATCCCCGGCATCGGCGATTTGTTGTTTTTAGTCGCCTTTTGACCTCGTTTGGAAGGCGCGAGAGCTTTTCGCAATACAACAACCTTGCATTTTTACATCCGTAATTATTTTGCTACAAGCAGGTCTTTCTCCTGCTCGTTAGGACGAATGGCTTCATCGCCACACAACGACCGTTTAGCCCCGTGCGCAACTACCGCCTCCGCCGCCTGCTGCTCGTGCCATGGCGCCTCCGCTCCCCCGATGCACCAATCACTGGAGGAAATGGACTTCCAGCGGGGCCTTGGGGGCGCCGCGCAACGGGGGGACGTTGCGCGTGTTCGTTATTTGCTCGATCGAGGCGCTTGCGCCGACGGATGCTTGCCACGTGGCATCGACGAAAAAGATTCTGAGAGTGGGCTACCGAACGGGCACACGCCTCTGATCTACGCCGCGCGTGCAGGGCACGTGGAGATCTGCGATTTGTTGCTGAAAGTGAGTGGAAATTAACCCAAGCCAAAAAGAAAATGAAATTGGACATTGTTGGGCCGCGGAGCGTGAAAGAATTGGTTTTTTTGAGACGTCTCAAAAGTTGAGCCACGGAACATGAAAGAGTTGATTGTTTGATTGGTCACAGACGAAGTTGCCCTTGCAATCGTTCCGTCCCTTCTTCCCTGCAGCATGGGGCGTCAGTGGGAGCAAGGACGAGAGCAGCGGGTCATTGCTCTGCACCGCACTGCACCGCGCTGCAGAAACGCGGCATGGGGGGTTGGCTGGTCACAACTTGCACATTGAAATGCAGTCCGGAGCACTCCCCTCCCTCTTCTTCTCTGCAGCACGGGACATTAGAGGGAGCAAGGGGCAAAAGCAGGGGGCGGCACCACTGTGCACCGCACTTGATGGGCAGGGCACGAGGGGGTGGTGCAGCTGCAAATGAGCTTTCACTGGCTAAACGCTCCATCCCTTCCTTTTCTCTGGGTCGCCAGTGAGAGCAGACTTTTGAGTCGACTCAAAGTCATCTCGCTCCATCCCTTCTTGTTCTTTGCAGCAAGGGTCGCCAGTGAGAGCACGGATGAGAACAGGGGGGCGACCGCTTTGCATCAGACTGCATGGGCGGAGCATGAAAGAACTGGCTGGTTTCATTCATATGATACGAGGTTGCATTTGTAAGCTCTTCCTCCCTTCCTCTCCCTCCTGCAGCATGGGGCGTCATTGGGAGCAAGGATGAGAGCAGGGGGCGCCACCGCTCTGCACCGCAGTTCAGGGACCGTCATGAATGGTTTTGCTGGTTACTGCTTGCACATTAAGTTCCACTGGCTAACACTGCATCTGTTGTTCCTCCCTGCAGCATGGGGCGTCAGTGGGAGCACGGACGAGAGCAGGGGGCGCCACCGCTCTGCACCGCGCTGCAGGGGCCGGGCATGAGGGGGTGGTGCGTCTGCTGCTGGCACGTGGTGCTGACGTGGCTGCTGTTGATGCTGATGGCTTGACTGCTGCTGACAAAGCTCGTGAGTGGGAGTGGGAGAGGCAGAGGGAGAGGGAGTGGGAGAAGGAGGGTAAGAGGGAGGAAGTGCAGGCAAAGAGAGAGCACTAGAGAGGGGGAGGCTTAAAGAAATCGGCAACCCCGGTGGTGCCATATTGCTCATGCACCTGTGGCATGTTTTACTGGAACGAAGCAAATCAACAGTACCATACCCATGTGCCGCACCCTGACATGACCGCCCTTTTTTAGACGTCTCAAAATTCACTTCAAGAGTTCCATGGCCATGTGCCTGCACACACCCTGACATGATGACCCCCCTGGTGCTGCCATGTCGCCCCTTGCTCATGCCCCTCTAGCATGTTATACTGAAGCGAGTGAAGCACTTCAAGAGTTCCACGCCCATGTGCCTGCACCCTGACATGATGACCCCCCTGGTGCTGCCATGTCGTTTCTCATGCCCCTCTAGCATGTTTTGTGGAGGCGCCTACAGAATTTCATGCTCATATTGCCCCTTGCTCCTGATCTCTCGGCGTGTATATCTTATTTGACGCGAGGCATTGTTGTGCCATCCTTCCAATGTACCATGCATGCTGCAGGATGTCAGAATCATGAGGGCATTGTAACACTGCTCTCCTCGCACCAGCCGAAGCTCCCCTGACTGCTGAGGTCTTTCCAAACATCAGTAAATACATGTGTAACTCACAGATAAAAACTGTACGTAAACATGTAGAAACCATGTAAAGGAAGGAGGGTTGCGCTCTTTCTACAAACAAGGCGCAAAGCTGAACAGGGAGCAGCAGCATATCCCATCCATCTCATCTCATCTATTCAAACATCTTATATGTCCCCATATCCTATCCCATGCATCTCATCCATTCACACTATTGTCAAATGTTGTAGCCTATAGTGAGGTTTGTCTTAGGGGGTACAGAAGTTAGGGTTTGTCATATGTACCCCAACTCACATCAGTGACATCATCACTTCCTTTCTTGACATGGTATCACCTAGGTTCGGATCCTGTGGGATCCCGCTCCTCCCGACCTCGTTCGTTTCGCCCGAGCCTGTCTCACTCTGTCGTACTAGTTGCGCACGTCTTGCCCGAGCCTAGCGCCGGCCCGCTCGAGTCGCGTTCGTTCGTTACCACTCGTTCCGCCGATCCACTGCTCTCGTAGCGTAGCGACCTTCTCCCCCCCCCCTCCCCCCCTGCTGCCCGTAGCGTTTCCCCCCCCCTGCTGCCCGTCGAGTCACGTTTTTCCCCCCGCTGCCCGTCGAGTCGCGTTTTCCCCCCCGCTGCCCGTTGAATCGCGCCTTCCCCGGCCCGCGTCGCGTCGCGCTCTCCCCGCCCGTCGTCCCGTCGTGCCCTCCCCCGCTACTCGTCGCGACGCGCCCTCCCCCCGCTGCCCTAAACGCCCGTCGCGTCGCGCCTGCCCGCCGTCGCGTCCCTACCCCCGCCCTACGCGCCCGCCGCGTCGTCCCTACGCCCGCGCGCCCGCTGCGCCCGCGCCTCCCCGCGCCCTACGCCCTGCGCCCGTCGCCCGTCGCCTCCCTACGCCCTGCGCTCTGCGCCCGCGCCTCCCCGCGCCCTGCGCCCTGCGCCCGTTTCCTCCCCGCGCCCTGCGCCCTGCGCCCGCGCCTCCCCCCGCCCTGCGTCCTGCGCCCTGCGCCTGAGTGCTCGCTGCGCCCGTTTCTACGCACGCCCGCCCTTCGCCTGCTGTGCTGTCTTGTCTTTTTCTGCACGCGTGCCTGCTTGCTCGCGCTGCCACGTCTGCTCGTTTTCTCCGCCGCTGCGCCTGCCTGTTAGGCCTCCTGCGAGCCCTCCCTCTGCTCTACTACGCGTCCTGTCGCTCGTACCTCCACTATGGTGACTCCTAGAGTTCTTCGTTTTGACGCTGACGGTCGACCCCTCGAGTTCTCGGTCTGGCTCCTGCGCGCGCGTCGCCTTTTAGAGAGTCAGGTCCAGGCGGGTGAGTCCCTCTGGGCGCACGCTACTGGTGACCTTCCTGCGCCCGACGACCCTACGCCTTTAGGCTCTGCCCCTGACGACGCTGCTAGAGCCCGCTTTGCCAGCCAGCGTGCTGACCTCACGGCGTGGAAGTCGCGTGACGCTGCGGCCTGCATCGTTCTTAGCAGCCTCCTCCCTGAGTCTGAGGAGGCCCACTTCACTCAGGTTCGCACTACTAGTGAGTTCCTGACTGCGATTAAGGCCCGCTACGCTACTCCCACCACTGTCTCTCTTGGCCGACTCTTCCTACCGTTCCTGTTCCCTGACCTCGCCTCGTTTGAGCGCTCTGCTGACTTGATTGCTCACCTACGCTCGCTTGACTCTAGCTACCGCGCTGCCTGCACTGACGCACAGCTTGCACTGCTCCCTCCCCCCATGGCGATTACTATCTACTTCATTGCCACTAGCCTCCCTGACCGCCTTGCCTCAGTCCTTGACACGCTTCTTCTGAAGCACCCTAGTGAGCTCACTATCGAGGTCCTTGAGTCTGCGCTCAAGGACGTCGAGAGCAACCTCCGCTCCGTAGCCTCCGCCTCTAGTGCTGTGCCCCCTCCACTGTTCCACGGGTGCACTGTCTCTCAGCTGCCCACCTTTACAGCCTCTCTCGCCACTGCTGCTACTGACGTGACCGCAGCTGCTGTTACGACTTCTTCGCGGTCTCGAGGTAGAGGTGGCAAGAGGGGCGGTCAGGGTACAGGTGGCGGCAGCGGTGGAGGCGTTGGCGGCGGAGGTGGCGGGGGTGGCGTGCCGACTGGTGGCGGCGGGAGTGCAGGGCCTGGAGAGGCGTCTCGTGCAGCGGCCGGTGACCCCGTTACTGCAGCTGGTGGAGGCGACGCCCGGGCTCGTCAGCCACCTTCTGGTCTGCCGGCCGCGGCGGGTGGAGCAGCGGCGTGGTACCTGGCCCAGCGGCAGCAGCAGCAGCAGCCCCTCCCCTCGCAGCAGCAGCAGGTTTCGGGGCCAGGACAGCGTCAGCCTCAGCGAGGTGTTGTTCACCCTTTGTGCACCTATCAGCTTTTGACAGGTGCTCGCCGAGGCCAGCCTTGTGGTCGTACCCACCCTCCTGGTCAGTGCTTTGCTCAGCTCACTGACACGGTTCGCTTGGCCTACGGCGTTGGAGGCCCTGCCCCTGACTGGTTTCCTCTTGTTCAGACGTACGGCCCTGCCCTTTGGGGCATGTCAGCTTCTCAGTTGCTTGATCTCTTAGGAACTCCTCATGCTATGTATGCTGTTGTTGACTCTAGTGCTTCTGACTCTGTTTACTCGAGTGTTGCTAGCTTAGGTGCTTGTCTTGCTGAGTTGCCTCTTGCTAGTGTAGGCACTTGTGTAAACACTAGTCCAGGAGCTCGTTCGGAGGACGCTTCGCTGTCTTTCACTTTGGAATCTGGGGCTTCGCACTGCTTCTTCAGGGACCACACGACACTTACTCCGCTTCCTGCGCCAGTCTCTGTGGCACTGGCTGATCCCACCTCGGGACCAGTCACTGCTCGCTACACTACTACTCTTCTGTGCCCTGCTGTTCCCTCTGGGTCTCTGACTGGCTTCCATGTCCCCTCGTTCTCGAGGAACTTGGTGGGCGTGAGGCCTCTTGTGAGTCAGCACGTGGGTGTGTGGATTGAGCCCTCTGGTGAGACGGCGGTTTGTGTTGACGGAGACACTTACGCGCCTCTTGCCACCTTTACAGCGGAGCCGGGCTCAGGTCTCTACACACTTCACACTGACCCTGGTGTGCAGCAGCAGCAGCGACTCCTGTCCCCGGCCCCGGTTACTTCCCCCAGTCTGGTCCCTGCGTCTCACCAGGTTGCTGCGTCCCCCCAGGTAGCTGTGTCTGGTCAGGTTCCCGTGTCTGGTCCAGTTGCTGCGTCGTGCTCCTACCGGTCGCTTGCCCACCCCACCGTTCTGTGGCACCACCGGACGGGGCACCCGTCCCTCCCTCGTCTGCGCGCTATGTCTCGTCAGCGTCTTGTCTTAGGCCTCCCGCGTGTCTTGCCGTTGTTGCCGCCTTCGCTTGCACCGCCGTGCGGTCCCTGCGTCGAGGGTCGGCTGCGCGCCACCCCTCACTCCTCCTCCCTTCGTCCGGCCACCGAGCCTTTTGAGACGCTCCACTTGGACGTCTGGGGCCCCGCCCCTCGCTTTGGCCCTGAGCGCGAGCGTTTCTTTTTTGTGGTCGTTGACGACTTCTCCCGCTACACCACAGTGTTCCCCCTGGCGAAGAAGTCTGAGGTGAGTTCTACGCTGATCAGGTGGTTGCTTACCACTGAGGGCACTCGTGGTCGTCGTGTCAGCTGTCTTCACTCTGACCGTGGGGGTGAGTTTCGCTCCGGCATTCTCGCTGGATTCCGTCGCGAGCAGGGCATTCGTCAGTCGTGGACGCTTCCAGAGTCCCCACAGCAGAATGGGGTTGCTGAGCGCCGCATAGGCTTGGTCATGGAGATCGCCCGCACCTCCTTGACTCACGCCCGTGCCCCCCATTTTCTGTGGCCCTACGCGGTTAGGTACGCCGCTCACCAGCTGAACCTCTGGCCACGCGTCTCTCGGCCAGAGGCTTCACCGACCAGTCTTTGGACCGGGTCCCCTGGTGTTGCGTCGAGGTTTCGTGTCTGGGGTTGCTTGGCTCTTGTCCGCGACACTTCCGCGGACAAGCTCTCACCTCGCGCCGTCCCTGTGTCTTCCTTGGTTTCCCTGAGGACTCCTCTGACTTCACCTTTTACCACCCTCCCTCTCACCGGTTCTTTGACTCCCGTGACGTCCGTTTCGAGGAGTCCACTCCCTACTACGTCATGTACCCCAGTCGAGGTCTCCCGGTTCCTCCTCCCCCTCTCTTCCTGACTTCCGCTCCCCCTCCTGCTCCCCCGGTACAGCCTCCCCCCCCTGGTCCCGCCCCGTCAGGTGTGTCCCAGGCTACCCCTCCCCCCTCGGTAGCCCCTCAGGTGCAGCCTCCTTCCCCGCAGTCCTCCTCGCAGCCTGCTGCGGACCCTGTGGGAGCCGGCGCTCGTGGAGAGGGCCCTACAGGTGCTAGCTCTGGG